TTCTGCTACTGCTACTACAACTGCTACTACTACTACTACTACTACTACTACTTCTCCTACTGCTACTGCTTCTGCTTCTGCTTCTGCTACTACTACGACGACGACGATTGCAACCACGGCCACGACTAAGACTCTACGACCACCACCACCACCACCACCACCATCACCACCACCACCACCACCACCACCACCACCACCACCACCACCACTCCTGCGACGCCTGCCATACATCTTTTTTCTCCATGTTGTCAACTACAATGGGCGGGTGCCTAATCAGCAGCCTCATCTGCGAGAGCATTCGGCAGAACTGTGTGCCAGGAACCACAACTGGTTGCGCATTTCGCGCGTTCTTCATTGCCTCGGAATGATTGGCAAGAAGGCTGGCAACCATGGATGGGAAGTCATAGTTCTTGACCTCAGTGAGAGTGTGAAAGAAGGCCGAGCAGCAAGCGTTGATGAAGTGTTTGGAGGGCATGAAGGCCGGGAGCTCGGCCGCGGAAAATTTCAGACGTTCACGTTCCATTGAGATGAGTCACGGAGTCCCAATCCCGACAGGCAGATTATCCCGAGGTGATGAGCGTAGCGAACTCGGGAACTGCACAGCTCAAGGACCTGGGTCTAGGCAATCCTCTCTACACACCGTGTGAGATCCTCAAATATCCTCAATATCTGAGCGTGAAGGGTACTGAGCCTATTGCCATAAAAAGATCGCGCATGCCTTTACTATTTCTATGGAGCTTCGGGTCAGAGGGTTGGGGATGCCTAAGATCACATCGTCTCATCGTGAGGCCATGCCCCATTGGAGACGTCGGGCCGAAGTCGGCTGAGCCCTAGCCACCCGTGCAGAAGGCCTGTCTCACCTGGGCAGTTCAATCCAAGTGCATTGTTGAAAACATGCTAAGAAACTGGCAGCGTTCTGACCCAAGTGGCGCTTGAAGAAGTGTCGAGGAAAAGGCCGCATTCCTTGAATCCCTGCGCGCAGACACAGTAGGATTTCCAGAACGAGGCGAAAGTCTCTCTCCAGAAAGGTACTCGTAGTAGAGATGCCTCTGGTTGCACATGGCCACAGGAGATCTCCGGAGCAGACCGACGATCCTTCACGGCATGAGTCGGAGACCCTGCAGGTAGCTGCGCTCCCGGAGAACCGTAGTGCTGCCACGTTGTCACACACAAGACGCCACAGGCTGAATGCGAGTAGACAGCAGACAAACTGTCAAGCCGCTCCATGGCTGGTGCATGAAGCAGCATGCTTAATAACATAACCAAGTTCGAGCGTAGCTGTACTAAGTGCAAATCTTCTCGAACATGATTCCGGCACAGCGGATGGCGATGCTGAGCCGCACGCAGCACCATGCAGGCGACGATCTGCCACGTCTGCCCTTGGTCATGAACTGTCGTAAACCCCGCGTGGTGTGGAAAACGTCGTAAGCGTGGGATGGGATCTCGACTTCGCGCGGAACTGATTCGCACTGCAAACGGGAGAAGTATGGGAAATACTCCGAAGCCCACTTCCCCACCTGAGTTCGCAAAGCTCCAGCCTGCCAGTTTGTCAGGAGCAGCTGTACGGCACAGGAAATTCGTGGCACACCGAGATTCTGTGTAGATTGGCAAGGTATTTACGGCATTAAGAGACCCTGTGTTCCATGTTTCGTGCCGTCATGTAGCTGTCACGACGTTGGCATTTTCGCATTTGCGTTCAGTCACCACCATGTGTCAGTCTGTGTTTCTGCCGCTCAAGGCTTTCCGCGACGACCAGCCGGAGATGTACTTCAGAGTAAAAGGTGAAGGACCGCACGTCTTTGAGGAATGAGTGTGTATGCATTTCCAACTCGCATGCTTCTGATGCGCAGCTGCAGGAGTCAACATGGCAAAGTTGGCCGGAGGGGTATTTCTGCGAACAGAGCGAAGGACTTCGGGAGCTGTCTGTTTGTCCGGAGTCCGTCCGCTGTCGTTTGCATTGGTATTTTGGGTTCGTCACTGTCTTCGAATTGGAGAGATGTTGCAGGCAGGACACTTTTCTGGAAGGCATGGGCCCAAAGAGCATCGACAATTGTCTGAAGGCCACGCGCCTGCAGTTCTCGTTGAAGAATGAAACTCCTTGAACCGCTTCGGAATTTCATATGCTGAAGTCAGAAATACAAATTAAATAAAGTGAATATAGATATAAAGGAATGACTTTCAGCCCAGTAGTGCTAGGGCTGCGAGGCTTGAGGGTGTTTTGGCGGAGGGGATGAGGCTGTTTAGGCATGCAGGGGCTTGCGACACCGGGGTCGCAGGGAGACGACGTTCATCAATCCTTCTATGTGCAGGCGTAGAGTTGGAGTTTGGACTGATCAAGGGTGGTCTGGATTGTGCAGAAGCGAATGGAGACACATGCTCATACTCGCATGTGTATAGATGATACAGTATCAGTATGATGGACATATTTTGCAAACTTGCAGCAGCATGCATGTAGACAAAGTGGTGCAAGCCAAGTCACAGGGGTCAAGCGGCAAACTCCAAGGCTGTGGTGCTCGTGAACAAATTCGCGCAAGAGAGGCGGAAAGAAGAGAGCACCGGTGAGGTGCATTGGCAGCCATGGGACCTTCTAAGACAACCTGCCGTGGTCACGGCTCGTGTAGCTGAAGTGCCGGGCAGTGCTGGGGCTGTGTAAAGGTGCCGACTCGATGGCCCTAAACCCGAAACCATTCGATGCAGAATGTCCCTACGCCATGTCGTGTCGCGCTCGCATGAGATAGGTTCATGGTGGAGCACTGAACATTGCTGCCAACGCAGTCGACACAATGCCGATGGCGGCAACTCCAAGCCAATTGAGCCTTCATGTTGCTAACTTACCGTCATGGCTGGACTTCCGAAAGAGCCGTCCTTCAGCACTAGCCAGCGTCGTAGAATCTAGGTCTTCTGAGCTGCTTCACACTTAAGCTAAAGCCGCCTTCAACACGCCGTTCTAAGCCCTGACCCGGCAAAATAATATTTGGAGGTGCCATGGTTCCATCGAGTCGGTTTTGTGCCCCAATTGCGCAAGCTGGCTGCTCAGAGTTTGCACTTCCTTCGGGGAGCAACGACAGGACCGACTTGTCTGCCAAGACCAGGACGGGTGACTCCTACTGGCTTAGCATGAAGGTCGTTGGTATAAAGGGGCCGGGACCTTAAACAAAGGCTCCACATGCGTCATCTTCCCCGGTTGTTGGGGCCATGCTTCGGGAGGCCGTACACTCCTTACGACGCTCCGGAGCAGGAGCGATTAAGAGCTTGCGTCACAGAGATGCAGCAATCTCGCAGCTCCAGAAAGCGCACTGGTAAAGCTCGCGTTGTCCGAGGTCGGACAAGAGACGAAAATCGACCAGCTTACTGGCGCAGTTAGGACCTGTTGGACACGCAGGCATCTCTCTTCCAGCGTTGCCGTTCGCAGATGCGCTCGTATGCGTTTGGGAGTTATTGCCAAATCCGTACCCTGTTGAGGTGCGCTGGAGAGAGGTCGGAGCCGTTGGTGTGCGCCATGGGCCCACGAAGTGTGAGCCTGGCAGCCACAGCCACAGCTCGCGCACTCTTTAGGTAACCTTTGCTCGTATGCAGCTGCAGACGAAGCAGGCGTGTCTTCGGTGCACAGGTCAAGAGCATGGCCCGATGCCTCAAGGAAATGAACGAGCCAGCATCTGAAGTCCGTAGAATCATCGAGGTTAAGTTGAAGCGGAGTTGCACGTGTCTGATTGCCCAGGCGCAAAGGTGTCCTCCGGCTCTTCTTGTGTTATCCTGACATGATAGAGGCAGCTCGCACCATGAGAAGGCGCGTGCGTGCAAGTTAGTTGTGTTCGACATCTGCAGGAAGTGCTTCCTGAAAACGGAAACACTGTGGTAATGACCCATATGAGTGCAGGCCTTAGTGTGATTTACGCATGGACTGCAGACTGACAGAGAAACCGAGCATCTTGAGTAAATCGTCGCGAGCACCCTGTCACCTGAAACGAGGGCTGGAGCCTCGTCCGCGTGAGACTGAGTAAGCAAAGACTTGCAGCAGCTCCGCCAACTACGGCCACGAAAATTGAGAGAAAAGCCTCAGATCGACGGCAGCTGACTTTAGAGACCCTTGCCTCAAACAACACTTTTCGACGAGGGTCGGAGGCCACTCAACTTCTGCTTGCCCCGACATCATTTAGCAAGTTCACGCGCGATCGCATCCTGAGAGTTCCCTGGCACTTTCTGAACAAAGGTTCGATCCATGCTGTATGCACTGAAACTGTAGAAACAGCAGGTATTGCAGCAGACCGGTGCATCCGCTTGCCTGGTGGAGCACACGATGCAACGAGAGAAAGGGTTTAACAATCCTTTCTGAGCTCTGGAGAGGCACAGGATCTAGGACCAGTTGTCTAAAAAGACCGCATTCTATCTATTTCACCCTGTTGGCTCCGCCACAAGGCATTTGACATACGAGCTTGAACATAAAGGTGATCCTGGCCCGAACGGTCTCATACTACCCAGTCGTACAGGTTCGGGTTCGCAAGATATGAAACTGCAAGGTCTGTAGCTGCTGCTTGCATTTGCGTGTGATTCGTTGCGCCAGCTTTGCCTTTGATAAACACCGATGGCTGCCCCGCGTTCAATCGCCCCTTCAGCGCCTGGGGCTGAGTCTCTGAGAACCTCTCTGCTTTTCTAGTGCTCCAAGCATCGGCCTTACTGCTCCCACATCCATGCAAAGGTACCGAAGAGATGCCCTCGCAGATGCCATCAAGAACAAGCAAACGAGGTTGAGATCGCGAGCGCTTCTTGTCGCTCCTTTCCCCGCAACACGCGATGATCTGCAGGCCTTCTTCCATCGGCCCTTGTGCCCGCTCTTCGGCGCATTCCGGCACGCTCCTTGCACGTACCTGTCGACCCAAAGGTTCATCTGAGACTGGTCAGTAGCTGTTCGCCCAGGTGAGCGACGCAGGCCAGCCTTGCAATGTTCAGAAGTGATTGATGTCTGCCGTGATTTTGCGAAGCGGGCGCTTGGCAGGTCAGCAGCAAGAGCATTCCTTCAGAGTATGATCGACTCGTGCACTGTTAAGGAGAGCAGCGTCTTATGAAGACGAAGCACGGCGCTGAAAGCATTTAAGTTTGCCCCTGTGCGGTTTTCTCGAGGTTGACACTTGTATCGGCCCACCACAGCTGTTAAGCTTGGTGGCTCATATCAGTTGCCGTGCTCTGCCTCGGTTGGGTTCATGCTATGTACCCCGTGAGAACAGCCTACCAGACTAGATGAATGGGATTTGAGTGCGTAGCAGATGAGCAGGACAGTCGGGTGGTTGACTTCGACGACATGGGCCATGGCCTCAATGAGAACGATTAGGAGACCTGGCCCAACCAACCAACCTGCACGTCATGCTGAAAGCCTGGCAGAAGAACAAAGCGGCAAAGCACCAGAGAACTCCAAGCATGGTGGTGTTGTGACTAAAGCTACCGCTGGTAGGTTATGTTAGTTATGTTATCGTATGTTAGACACATAGGTCAGCACCTTGCAACCGATCATAGCTAATGTCGCGCCTTTCTGATGGCCGAGTCATTCGCCGAGGACCGCCGGCTCAAAGCTGTGGCTCGTCCTTGGCTCAATGAGTTGTACAAAACCGGAAGGGCCTGATTTCTTGAAGCCGTTCCTCGAGCTTTGAGGCAGGAGGGTCCCGAGTAGATAGAACCAGGTCAGACTGGGGAGGCTCTCGCTGCGGCACCTCTTCCCCGAAGTTGGGATCCAAGTTACTGCCATGCCATACACAAGACATGTCGAGCCCATTCCGGGTTCGAGTTGCCAGATGTCGTATAAGCTTAAGTGACGGTTGTTCAACTGAGCTAGCAGCTATCAACGCCTCGTACTGTACCGAAGCAGGAGGGCAGTGTGTGCCAGCTACTTAGTTGTGTGATGCGGGGTATACGTCGAAAGCGTATCACTAAACTAGACATTGAAAGTGTGCTCGTTTGTATTTGTATCAAAAGGGGAAGGATTGAGTATACTATATCCGTGGCCTTTCGGCGAAAGCTTTCCCCTTGTCTTGGGGGCAGCAATTTCAGCGGAACCACCCGACCCACCCTGGAGGTCAGCTTGCTGGTCGCTAGAGATTTCTTCCCGGACCGGGATTTGTCGCCACTGCTGAAAAATGTTAAGACGCTGTTGTAGCACTGCTGTGGCATTGCCTCGTTTGCAGTTCATCTGCTACACACGAAACCACTTTGCTGGTAGTGCTAGGGGTGGTGGGCGGGACTTAGGAACGGTAGCTAGTCTACGCTTCACGTCGTCCTAAGATGAACACTGTGCGCCTCTCCAGGCCCTCCTACCCGATGACAGAGAGCATGAAGGCACGGCAAGTGCGATCTGATTGCATTTCTACGGGGAGTGAAGATAATAAAACACTGTGACTTTGCTGCCTGTAGATGTGGATATTTTCTTGTACGTTTGTAGTAGCTACAAACTGTTTACACGCACCGCTACCTCTACAAGGTCACATATGTACTCGTTTGTTTGTACAGAAACGCCTAGTGGCCCAGTCGCTGGCTTTGGAATGCCAGCCCTGCAGCTTTCGACAGGTTGGCTTCTTCCTGGGCAGTGAGGCATTCCCCACGAAGGCCTATAACCGAAGGCTCGTGCCTGTGAGGGGTTGGAGTCGGTTGGACGTAGAGTTCCGCCCGTTTCTGGTGTCAGGTCCATATGCCGCAGCGCATTCTGGAGCAAAAGTGGGCTGAAGGATGCTTGCTTCTCCCGATGAAACACGCGCATTTTTGGTCGTCTGGTCTCAGTTTTCGATGTTCCTGGCGCCTTCGGCTCTGGATACGCATGTAATAGCGAGAGAACTAGCAGAAATTACGGCAAGCATCTGATCAGTGTTACACGCAGTGCCGAAGGATTGAGCCCGGAACTAGGCTTCTGCACCAGGACCCCATCAGGAAACCTGATTGCGGAGTTGGAGTTGGCCGGAAAATGCCGGACAACGATGTGTGCTGGGGCGAAGGCCCTGCGCACTGTAGCAGCCATCGCTGTAGCCTGTAGGATGCACCCATGCGACACTGTCGGAGGAAGGAGACCGGCGACATGAGGGGAAGCTGGACCATGCAGACCATAACGTCCTAAGCGAAAAATCGCAAAGGGTTCTAGATGCTTCCAAGTGCACCCTGGTGCTCGGCGCTGGGTACATCCTCCTTTGGTCGGAAAGAGCGATCTTGTGATTGTGGAGGCGCTCTGTCCTCGAGGTTTTCAACTGTATCACCCGCCGGTCGCATGCGAATGTATGTTGCGACTCGTTGTGTGTGATAACAGATTTTCCAGCTGCTCTTGCTCCCGGTGAGAGCAGCTACTTTAGCTTCTGAAGCAGGTACTGGTAGGGTTCTTCTCGGACCCTGATGGCGCAGAAGCGCAGTTCCAGCTCTCTCAGCTCGCTGTGATGTCACGTCGCCTCGGCGGCAGATAGTTTCGTGACTTTGCAGGCCCGTTTCAAGTTCTCACGTTCCACTGCAAGCGTTCCATCCTCTCTGAGCGCGGTCACAATGCTCGGAAAGTTGTGTGCTGTGTGCCCACGGACATGACTTCGTGAGATGCTTCATGCCTGGAATCCACACCGAGCTGCTCCATGTTTGAAGACCTGCTGTATCCTGCAGCATTGTCCTAACGTGCTGAGACTATGGGGAGGTGTCCTCAGCATGCATGACATGCAGCTTGCATCTTTGTCCGAAGCAAGCAGCAACCGAAACCAGAAAGAACCATCGAAATGAACCTACCGTCAAGTTCGCTTTTGAGCTTCTGCAGGAGATCTCGCATGACAGCAGAACGATTTAGAAAGCGGCTACGGACAATCAAGCAGAGGCACTTTAGCAGGAGGAAGAACTCAGCTTCATGACTTACCCGGCAATCCGACTGCCGCCCGGCGCCGTCAGAGAGTCTCGACCTTGGCAGTAGTTGAGTGTCGGGAGTTTAGGGCTGAAAGTCCAAGACTTCCTCTGACAACTCGGCTGAGGCGACACAAGCTTGCAACCGGCAAAGATCCGGAGGCCAAGCACGCCTTGTGAGCAGCTGGTGCAGCGTTTGTGCCTGAAGCTTTATCGGATGCGAAGCTCCCCTTCTCGCCGCCAGGGAAACAAGCGACCTCTTAGCAGCTCAGCTTGGTTCAGAATTCCATCTGGGAAATCAGGGATCGGATGAGGACCAATAAGATGCCCGCAATGGTGGCTAGGATACTTTAGCCTTGCCGACGAGCAGTCGTGCTGCAGGCGGTTTCTATGCCAGTACGGTGCATGAGGCAGACCGCTTCGATAGAGGGGTG